GGAAATCCACTCATGAACTTATCCATGCTTGGCGATATATAGCCATGTGCGTTATGCACCATTTTGCACATATATAAGCATATTTCTCAAATTCCAAGTAATATACATGCGTTTGGTATTTTGTTTGTTTTATATCATATAGGAGCGCTGCATGCTTGTTTTATATATTAAGCACTTCTGACAGACAACCTATCCTTCCTTCCATGGTGGCTCGCCTCCGAGAGGTGACCTCTCTCCGCAATCAGCTTAAGCCTCTGTCCATGACTAAAACAGCTAAATCCCTAATTTGGTCTAAACAAAAATTCTATGAGTACTCTAATAAACCCCACAGAATACTAGTGAATAAACAAACCCCAGCCTTTTCATTCCTTCCCCGATTTCCTTATTCAAGCAGACGGCACACCTACACACTGCCCCAGTCCATGGCAAGGGTCTTTGGAAACTTTTTATCGAAAGCTGTATAATTGTCTGACTCTCGAAAATCATTTCACCTTTAAACAAGAAGCATTCAATTCTTTTTTCGCTACTTTAAACTTGCCTAAATTGTCTTCCTCTAATTTACAGCTATCAAATGCGGCTGTCTCCCCAGAAGAGCTAACACATGTTATCAAACATTTACCATCATAAAAATCTCCTGGTCCTGACAGACTCTCTTATACATACTACAAAAGTTTTTCACATATTTTACAACCCTAGATTCTAGCTCTTTATAACTATCCATGAAAGTAAAGTCCCCCGTTTCCAATTTTTGCATATATTACCGTAATACCCAAGCGGGGGGAAAGACCCCTCTATCCCAGACAATTATAGGCCCATCACATTACTAAATTCAGACTATAACATTTTTTACGAACATTTTACCTAATAGATTGACCCAACTTCTTTTAAAACTGATAGGAACCAGGTGGCATTTGTTCTGGCTCAACATGCGGGAGACAATACCAGATACACTATTGACCTCATTTAATTACTGAATAAATTTCACCATCTGGCCCTCCAACTAAGCCTAGATGCTCAGAAAGCCTTTGACCATTTGAGCTGGCCTTATATGTTTGTTACTTTGTCCCATTACGGCTTTAAAGACCCTTTCCTAGAAGCTTTGCAGGCATTGTACTCTTGCTCTACCTCCCGAGTTCAATTATCAGCTTTTTGTCTCCTTCCTTCCTGATGTCAAATGGGATCAGGCAGGGCTGCTTCTAATTGCCCCTACATTTTATTTTATGTCTAAAACCTCTGGTGGCAGCCATTCATTCTCACCCAGATATAAAGGGAGTTCTGATGAAACAGCGGGAATATAAGCTTTTCCTTTTTGCTGATGACATTCTGTTAACAATAATAAATCCTCTCTTATCCCTCCCATCTTTACATAACCTACTGTCCGCATTTGGATCGCTATCGGCCTATAAGGTTAATCCATCTAAGAATGAAGCCCTTCCTATCCTTATCCCCTCAGATCTTCTACCTATTCTACAACAGACCTACCCTTGTAGATTATGTGCCCAAACCCTCAAATACACTATGTTGCCAAAAGTTTTGGGACACCCCCCAAATCATTGGATTCAGGTGGTCCAATCACCTCCATGGCCACAGGTGTATAAAATGAAGCACCTAGGCATGCAGACTGCTTCTACAAACATTTGTGAAAGAATAGGTCGCTCTCAGGAGCTCAGTGAACTCGTGTGGTACCGTGATAGCCTGCCACCTGTGCAATAAGTCCATCCGTGAAATTTCCTTGCTACCAAATATTCCACAGACAACGGTTAGTGGTATTATACCAAAGTGGAAGCAACTGGGAACAACAGCAACTCAGCCACCAAGTGGTAGGCCACGTAAAATGTGCGGAAGTGCACAGAACTGCCAACTGTCTGCAGAGTCAATAGCTATAGACCTCCAAACTTCATGTGGCCTTCAGATTAGCACAACAGTGCGTAGAGAGCTTCATGGAATGGGTTTCCATGGCCGAGCAGCTGCATCCAAGCCTTACATCACAAAGTGCAATGCAAAGCGGTGGATGCAGTGGTGTAAAGCACGCCGCCACTGGACTCTAGAGCAGTGGAGACGTGTTCTCTGGAGTGATGAATCATGCTTCTCTGTCTGGCAATCCAATGGATGTGTCTGAATTTTTCGGTTGCCAGGAGAACAGTACTTGCCTGACTGCATTTTGCCAAGTTTAAAGTTTGGTGGAGGGGTATTATGGTGTGGGGTTGTTCTTTATGGGTTGGGCTTGTCCCCTTCGTTCCAGTTAAGGGAACACTTAAGGCGTCAGCACACCAAGACAAGTTTGCGATGGAGTAACTTGACTAGCCTACACAGAGTCCTCACCTCAACCTGACAGAACACCTTTGGGATGGATTAGAGCTGAGACTGCAAGCCAGGTCTTCTCATCCAATATCAGTGCCTGACCTCACAAATGCGCTTCTAGAAGAATGGTCAAACATTCCCATAGACACATTCCTAAACCTTGTGGACAGCCTTCCCGGAAGCATTAAAGCTGTTATAGCTGCAAAGGGTGGGCCAACTCAATACTGAAGCCTACGGACTAAGACTGGGATGCCATTAAAGTTTATGTGCATTATTATGTGCATTATGTGAATAATTTTGGTAATATAGTTCAATGGAGTTCATCTAACTCCAACATACTCTACCTTATTCACCGCCAACTAGCCTACTTTTCTTAGACATCAGCTGTATGGTTAAACAGTGGGACACTTATCTCATCTCATTATTGGGTAGGATAAACGTCATAAAAATGTCTATTCTGCCTAAATTGCTTTGTGTTTTTAAACCTTACCAGTTCCTATACCCATATCCCAACTCAAAACACTTCCTTGCTGGTTTCTGAATTTCTTATGGAATACCGAAGCCCATTGTGTCGCCAGCTCTGTTGTTTTCTCTTCCGGAACATGTGGAGGGCTGGGGGCCCCAGATATCATCAAATATTACTATGCTACTCATCTACGTCCCATCACTTCATGGTCGATCCAATACGTCACAAATTGAAATGGCTTCCCTCTACTCTGTCCATCCTTGTGCTCTGGTGTGGTCCCCATCTCTCTACAGCGACACATCAAACATTTTTGTTTAGCTCTTATGTTATTTACTTTAGCTTGTTACTTATAAAAGGTACTCTCTCTCCTCACTATGCCTCCCCCTCACTAATGTACTTTTTAATCCTCTAATAATGGATAGACTCTCCTATGGGCGCATGGCTCCATGGACTCAAGCCGCCTTATTTCAGCTATGTAATTTTGTTCATCCAGTAACTCGTAAGAAGCTCTCCTTTCGGAGACCTACAGTCCAAATATATTCCCAAACACTTACATTATTCTTACCTCCAAATTAAACTTTTTCTCCTCTCTATCCCCATCCCTCTTCTTAGATAGGCCCACTAAATTTGAATACACCTGCGCCCAAGGCCCATATCAGCTCCATCTAATGTTCGCCGTCTACAAAACTACTTCATGATGCCACTCCTCTCACGGTGGATCTTCATACCCAAATGAAAAAAAATGGGCTCCGATATTGCAGAGACCCATCCCTCTCTCTAGTTGGGAGAAGATATGAAGTTCTGCTTCCAAATCCTCTGGATTTTTTTTTTAAGATACTACTGTTTTGGTACAGAACCCCAGAAGTCCTGCATCGTCCCGACTCATCACTCTCACAACTGGAGATGTGGCAGTGACATAGGTCCTCATTTCCATATTTTTTGTCAATGCCCACTTATACAACCTTTCTGGGTGTCTGTGATGTCTCTCCTTCAAATGCTATTTAAGGTTAACTTACCATTGGACCCACTCTTTTCGGGTTTTAGTAAATCATCTAAACAGCTGATATATCATGCATTGCTGGCGGCACAAAGAGCTATTCCTATATGCTGGTTATCAGTGGAACCACCTACTCGTTCATTACTCTTAAACATCATCACTGATATCTGTAGAATGGAATACCTCACAGCTTTCTGTGAATGGTACTTTATTACAGTTTAACAAGATCTGGGACATCTGGTATCAGTCAGAATATGGCTCTTCCCATCTTCACCCCGATTCCTTATTTCTAACCTCTGTGATCTTGGCTGGGTTGTTCTTCATTGAATCTTCTAGTCTGCCCCCCCCCCCCCCCCCAACACACACACTTTCCCCCAATGGTATTTCCTTTTGTAGCCGCACCATGCTACCTATTTGCAAACTTTAATTACCTTTTTGTATTGGTTTCCTATGTACCCATTTGTCCTATGCCTTAGGCCTGTTTTGAAATGTAATTGTTTGTATTACTCAGCCCTCCTCTGTTGTGGGCCCTTCTTTACACTCCTGGTTATTGAACTCCTACTCTTCTCTTATTTGTCAGTTGTAATGTTCGATGCTGATCATTCTGTTATTTGTGTTTAAAAACTTTAATACAAAAAGAAAGAAGCAGCAGCAGGAAAGTGCTTCCTTTCCGCAAGGAAGTACGAAGCTCATGCTGTACTCCACCCAGCGGATGATGCCAGCACAGTGCTAACCTTGTGCACAGCAAAACTAGCAGGTACACCAATATCCTGGATGAGGATGGCCGTACCATATATAGCTGCAATGGAAGAGACAAGCCCCAGCAGCAATGTAGAAAAAGTCCTCACTGAAAAAGAAAACTCATGAGAATAGGAAAAAAGGTGCTAGCAAACATAGGTTAGTCTTTCACGTAGCAGAGCTGAAAAGACATCCATACTGGTGGTGAAAAATGTTATCCTTTACTAATCTACAGTAATTTAGTTTGCCAGTCTCTGATCCTCCTACTAATAGAATTTTAACCCAAAGTTGAAAGAATCTGTGTTCCCCAATGGAAGAAATTACATTTTTCTTCCTGAGTGTACTTGTACCTAAATGACTGTTTGCTTTAAAAATATCACTACAAGATACAAATTGCGACATGGTCATAGAATGTCTTCCATAATATCCACAACTGATATAGCATTTACCTTTCATTATACTGATTTCTATCCCTGTCCATAGCACCTGTGTACTCACCAATTGCAGTATTTCTGTATCAAGAATTTCGATAGGTCCTGTAGAATTGGCTGAGTATGTAAAGACACAAAACTGTTCCCGACAAACCTATAAAGTGTAAAATCTACATAAATAACACAATGCAATGATTTGCAAATCTCAAACTCTTATATTTTTTTCACAATAGCAAATACAAAACATATCAAATGCTTAAACTGAGAAAATGTACTATTTTCAGAAACAAGGTGATTTTGAAATTGCTGTCAGCAACATGTCTCAAAACAAATTTGGAACAGGGCATGTTTACCATGATGTAGCATCCCCCTCTTCTTTTACCAACACTCTGTGAACATCTGGAAACTGAGCAGGCCAGTCGCTTGAGTTTTGAGAGAGGAATGTTGTCCCCTTGTTGCCTGATATAGGAGTCTAACTGCTCAACAGTTCTGGGTCTTCATTGTTTTATTTTTCATTTCAAGATGCACTAAATATTTTTAAATTGGTGAAAGGTCTGGACAGCAGGCAGGTTAGTTGCGCACCCAAACTCCTTTACTACAAAGCCATACTGTTGTCATAGATGTAGTATGTGGTGTTTAGCATTGTCCTGCTAAGTATGCAAGGCCTTCCCTGAAAAAGACTTCATCTGGATGGGAGCATATGCTGCTCTAAAACCTGGATATATATTCATCAGAATTCATGGTGCCTTTCCAGATGTGCAAGCTGCCCATTCCATATGCATGAATGCACCTCCATACCATCAAAGATGCAGGCTTTTGAACTGGATACGGATACCAAGCCAGAAGGTCCCTCTTCTCTTTAGTCCGGAGGATGGGGGCACCCATGATTGTCAAAAATAATGTCAAATTTTGATTTGTCTGACCATAGAACAGTTTTCCACTTTGCAACAAAACATTTTAAAAAGCTTTGACCCAGAAAAGATGGCAGTGTTTCTGGGTCATGTTCAGATAAGACTCTGCATGATGGAGCTTTTAGTGGCATTTTTGGATGGCATGGCAAACTGTGTTCACAGACAGTGATTTTGGAAGTTATCCTGAGCCCATGCAGTGATGTCCATCACGGAATTATGCCAGTTTTTTTATGCAGTGCTGTCTGATAACGGGCATCCAATATTGCGTTTTGGCCTTGTCCCTTATACACAGATTTCTTTAGATTCTCTGAATCTTTTGATATTTTGTGCTGTAATTATGGTATATGTACAGTGGATACAATAACTCTACACACCCCTGTTAAAATGTCAGGTTTCTGTGATGTTAAAAAATGAGACAAAAGAAATAATTTCAGAACTTTTTCCACCTAATGTAACCTATAAGCTGTACAACTCAATTGAACAACAAACTGAAATCTTTTAGGTGGAGGGAAGTAAAAATTAAAAACGAAAATATGGGTTGCATAAGTGTGCACACCCTTAAACTAATACTTTGTTGAAGCACCTTTTGATTTTATTCCAGCACTCAGTCTTTTTTTTGGGTATAAGTCTATCAAGCATGACACATCTTGACTTGGCAATATTTGCCCACTCTTCCTTGCAGAAACACTCCAAATCTGTCAGATTGCGAGGGCATCTCCTGTGCACAGCCACTTCAGATCACCTCACAGATTTTCAATCTAAATCAGGTCTGGGCTCTGGCTGGGCCATTCCAAAACTTTAATCTTCTTCTGGTGAAGCCATTCCTTTGTTGATTTAGATGTATGCTTTGGGTCATTGTCATGCTGAAAGATGGAAGTTCCTCTTCATGTTCAGCTTTCTGGCAGAAGCCTGAAGATGTTGTGCCAATATTGATTGGTATTTGGAGCTGTTCATAATTTCCTCCACCTTGACTAAGGCCCTAGTTCCAGCTGAAGAAAAACAGCCCCAAAGCATGCTGCTATCACCATGCTTCACTGTGGGTATGGTGTTCTTTTGGTGATGTGCAGTGTTGTTTTTGAGCCAAACATATTTTTTGGAATTATGGCCAAAAAGTTCAACCTTGGTTTCATCAGAACATAACACATTTTCCCACATGCTTTTGGGAGACTTCAGATGTGTTTTTGCAAAATTTAGCCAGGCTTGGATGTTTTTGTTCGTAAGAAAAGGCTTCCATTTTGCCACTCTACCCCGTAGCCCAGACATATGAAGAATACAGGAGATTGTTGTCACATGTACCACACAGCCAGTACTTGCCAGATATTCCTGCAGCTCCTTTAATGGTGCTGTAAGACCAGTTTTTTCTTCTCGTCTTTTCAGCAATTTTGGAGGGACGTCCAGTTCTTTAAAATGTCACTGTTGTGCCATATTTTCTCCACTTGGTGATGACTGTCTTCACTGTGTTCGTACATCTAACCCCTCGGAAATTCTTTTGTACCCTTCTCCTGACTAATACCTGTTAACAATGAGATCCCTCTGATGCTTTGGAAGCTCTCTGTGGACCATGGCTTTTGTTGTAGGATGCGACTAAGAAAATGTCAGGAAAGGCCTAATAGAACAGCTGAACTTTATTTGGGGTTAATCCAGAGGCACTCTAAATGATGGCAGGTATGTACTGACTCCTATTTAACAGGATTTTGAATGTGATTGCTTAATTCTGAACACAGCTACATCCCCAGCTATAAGAGGGTGTGCACACTTATGCAACCACATTATTTTAGTTTTTTATGTTTACTCCCCCTCCCCCCCCACCCTCCTTTCCCTAAAAGATGTCAGTTTGTTTTTAAATTGAGTTGTACAGTTTATAGGTCACATTAAAAGGTAGGTGTAACAAGTTCAGATATGATTTATATTTATCTCATTTATTTACACCACAGAAACCTGACATTTTAACAGGGGTGTGTAGACTTTTAACCACCTTCCGCCCGCCATATAGTCCAATGCGCAAGGCGGTTCTCTCGTTTTGGGAAGACATCATATGACATCCTCCCATTCTCACCGTGTATGCGCGGCTCCGGGAGCGTGCAGCGCAGCGATCCACGGAAAGAGCTGAAGATGTCGGCTCGGTCATGTGATTAGCTGTGTCCAATCACAGCTGATCGCATGTAAATAAGGAAATGCCGGTTATTGTTATTTCTCTCCTCACGAGCGGTCACGCTGACAGCTTGTGAGGAGAGGAGAGCCGGTAATCGGCATTCCTCGGAGGGGACATGTGCACAGATCATCAGAGCACTGATTATCAGTGTGCCCTGATGATCTGTGTAGCCCCAGTAGTGCTACATGTCAGTGTCCATCAGTGCCAGCTCTTAGTGCTCATCCATGCCACCTGCCAGTGCCCATCAGTGCCACATCAATGCCACATATCACTGCCTACCAGTGCACATCAATGCCACATATCAGTGCCCATCTGTGCTGCCTTTCAGTGTCACCCATCAGTGCCACCTATCAATGCCAGTCAGTGCCACCTATCAATGCCAGTCAGTGCCACCTATCAGTGCTGCCAATCAGTGCCACCTATCAGTGCCGGTCAGTGCCGCCTATCAGTGTGCATCAGTGCCCGTCAGTGCTGTCTATCAGTGCGGCCTAACAGTGCCAGTCAGTGCCGCCTAACAGTGCCATATATGAGTGCTGCCTTTCAGTGCCCATCAGTGATGCCTGTCAATGCCCATCAGTGCTTCCTCAGCAGTGCCCATCAGTGCCACCTATCAGTGCAGCCTATCAGTGCCCATCACTGCAGCCTCATAATGCACATCAGTGGAGAAATGGGACCTGTTGCCCATTAACCTAATTAGTTGAAAAATGTTCCAGCTTTTCCTTGTTATTACCACTTACTTTGCCAGCTTTTTGTTGTCCTGTCCCAACTGATTTTGAAACATGTTGCTGCCATTAACTTTAAAATTACCCTTTTTTTTTGTTTAAAAAAAAAGGGGGGGCGGTGGAGTAGGGGAAGCGGGTAACTGATGTTGACAGGTACCCACTCCTGCTCTGACCACCTAGGTGATCACTCCCTGCAGCCTCCTGGGACATGTCACAGGTCCCAGGAGACTGTAGGACCATTCACAGAGCGCAGCCAGTTGTGAAGCAGTTAGTATGCCGGCACTGGGGACCTGAAGGTCAGCGAAGCAGTGAGGGTGTGAGGACAGTGCTGGATCCTCAGGTAAGTATCTGCTTTTTTATAAGTCAAACTTCAAAAGCCCCCTTGGTGCTATTGAGAGGAATATAATGTGTGGTAAAAGAACAGAACCCGCTAGTCTTCCCTAAACACCTATAATAACTATACAGAAAATTTCTGCTGTGAGAGATACAAATCTCATACGAAAAGAAAATACAACAGATTTAAAATAACTGACTTGCATTAACATACCACAACAACAGGAAATGGAAAAACTAAAGGAGAAAAAGGTTGAAATTGTAGAAAAGCTACTTCAACAAATGTTGAAGACCTAACATCATGTAAAAATGAAAATTTCACCAATTTAGGTCTGACTGAGCTCACGGAGGAAAAACCAAGATTATCAAAAAAACTGGAAACTCTGCAATAAGCCTACCTGTTTCAGCAAGCAATTTTTTAAAGAGAATGGAAAAGGAGACCATATTATGTGTGCACATCCATAAATTTCATGACTACAGGTAGTTAGGAATTATCAGGAGCACTTCAAATAAAATATTGTATGTGTTGCGCTCCTCAGAATGTTGTTAGGTGATATATAATGTGTTATAAAATATAATAAATTAAATAAATCTAAATAAATAAATAAATATTATCTCATGATGATATATTATAACTTAAATTAAAACATGCCCAGTGCTGTAAATTAATTTAATTATAAATAACTAAATGTGTTTAATGGTATGAAAAAAATATAATATAATGTGCCACAAATTAAATGAATCGAAGAAGAACCTCTTTGTTCAAAGATAAATATGTGAAAAAATTGTGCATGTGCAGAATATACAAATATTGCCCACAGCAGTAATAAAAAATATATATATAATAAAGTGCAATACTCAATTAAATCTGGGAAAATAAATAATAATAAAAACTGTGCAAATAATGTGTAGTAATCACTTCACTTGTGCAACCTGAAACGATGATTAGGACTATATACTCCTAATCCTTATTTAGGATGAGATATAAACGTCCCAATTTGTGCACATGTATAGAAAGTCTATTGCTGTTAGGGTAGACTATGATGTTGCTTTCTTCCACTAGATGGCCTCCCAGTTCCTTCCGAATTATGAGGGCTGGATGGATAGATATGGATATCTCCCCTCGTGTGGTTTGGGGTCTATCTCTTATCTCCTCTTCCTCCCCTTTTACTCCTCCGATTTAGGCCATGAAAAAGAAAAAAGATCCCCACATGGTGCTTTATATCTTTCAAAAAGGTTTTAATGCGTCTCCTGACAAATTCAAACTCACATTTCCAAGATCAATACAGAGCGTTTGTTAAAATGTGTGCCCTCGCACAAAGACAGTACTCGCCGTTCCGCTAGTTGTGGCGTCGTGACGTCAGAGCCCCTCCCCTACGCGTTACGCCACAGGGTCACGTGGCTTCCTCAGGGGGATGTAAATACGACGCCATGACGCTTCTGCCCTTATATAGGCCATTCCAGCGCCATTTTCCCGAAGTCCGCACGGAGGCGGCCATCTCCATGGGGCCAGATAATTACTTGTATTCCTACGATGTATACACACCTGGGACACATAGCTTATGTTATATTATCAAAGTTAACAGCCTTTTACTCTGACTTAATGTCACTAGTACTGTGATTGGGCCGGGCACCATCAAATACAAGAATTTATATGAACAAAAACCTTTAATTAAACATATTAGTAATCATGGCACTAGTAGTGCCACCATTTGAAATTCAAAAAAAACCTTTTAATCAATATTTTTAAAATAATATTAGTACAAGGGGAAACTTATTTAATTTATTACAAGGGGAGAAATTAAAAATAATGTACATGATTATGTGTGAATATTTTTATGAAAATAGAAAAAATTGAAAAAAAATTTTATAAATAAAGTCAAATAAAAATAAAAGTAAAATAAAATAAAATAAAAATAGAAATAAAAATAAATATAAAAATAAATGTAAAAATAAAAATAAAATAAAAATAAATATAAAATTAAAATAAAAATAAATATAAAAATGAAAATAATAATAAATATAAAAATGAAAATAAAAATGAAAAAAAAAAAAAAAAAATGGCGGGAAAATGGCGCTGGAATGGCCTATATAAGGGCAGAAGCGTCATGGCGTCGTATTACATCCCCCTGAGGAAGCCACGTGACCCTGTGGCGTAACGCGTAGGGGAGGGGCTCTGACGTCACGACGCCACAACTAGCGGAACGGCGAGTACTGTCTTTGTGCGAGGGCACACATTTTAACAAACGCTCTGTAATTGATCTTGGAAATGTGAGTTTGAATTTGTCAGGAGACGCATTAAAACCTTTTTGAAAGATATAAGCACCATGTGGGGATCTTTTTTCTTTTTCATGGCCTAAATCGGAGGAGTAAAAGGGGAGGAAGAGGAGATAAGAGATAGACCCCAAACCACACGAGGGGAGATATCCATATCTATCCATCCAGCCCTCATAATTCGGAAGGAACTGGGAGGCCATCTAGTGGAAGAAAGCAACATCATAGTCTACCCTAACAGCAATAGACTTTCTATACATGTGCACAAATTGGGACGTTTATATCTCATCCTAAATAAGGATTAGGAGTATATAGTCCTAATCATCGTTTCAGGTTGCACAAGTGAAGTGATTACTACACATTATTTGCACAGTTTTTATTATTATTTATTTTCCCAGATTTAATTGAGTATTGCACTTTATTATATATATATTTTTATTACTGCTGTGGGCAATATTTTGTATATTCTGCACATGCACAATTTTTTCACATATTTATCTTTGAACAAAGAGGTTCTTCTTCGATTCATTTAATTTGTGGCACATTATATTATATTTTTTTCATACCATTAAACACATTTAGTTATTTATAATTAAATTAATTACAGCACTGGGCATGTTTTAATTTAAGTTATAATATATCATCATGAGATAATATTTATTTATTTATTTAGATTTATTTATTTAATTTATTATATTTTATAACAAATTATATATCACCTAACAACATTCTGAGGAGCGTGACACATACAATATTTTATTTGTTTATTTCTACACAGTATTTTGAGTATGTGTTTTATGTGTTGATGCACCATTATATTTAAAATAATTAATTGAAAGCACTTTTATGTCACCATAGTAGCTCACAAGTATACACCCCTATAAAATCAGGAGCACTTCAGCTTCCTATTTTAAAAACCCCTTCACGCCTAAGGGTAAAACAAATCTTAATGCCTAAGCACACTTTTGCAACTTTGACATGTTAGTAAAACCGTACATATCACCACAACTACTTTGTACATCCAGGTGAATTGTACCTTGTTTTTTTTTTTCAAAAAAAATTGGGACAAATTGGGCTTTCATTTGGTGGTAAATAGTAATGGATATCTCCTGATTTTTTTTTTTTTATTATCAAAGGAAAACTGGCCCAAAATAGTAAAGAAAAAAAAAATATAGATTTTTTTTAATTTAGCTGTGTTTTTCTTGTTACTACCATAACCTACCACCAAAGAACAACCCAAAATAAATTATCCAGCTCTTGATGATCGCAGCGATATCATATATGTGTATGTTATTTGTACTCGTAGTACAGCCCAGAAACAATAGTACGCATTTTGTTTTTGTCTTTTTTTACCTAAAATACACTGACATTGACACTAAGGGGTTTATTTACTAAAGCTGGAGATTGCAAAATCAGGTTCACTTCTAAATAGAAACCAATCAGCTTCCAGGTTGTATTGCCAAAGCTTAATTGAACAAGCTGAGGTTAGAAGCTGATTGGTTTCTATGCAGAAGTGAACCTGATTTTGCACTCTCCAGCTTTAGTAAATAAACCCCTAACTGACACCGATACCAATTATTTATTTTTTTTTTTTTTTTTTAAATCTTGACCTTTTGACCCTGACCCAAACACTAAACCTTGATCTAGGTATTTTTTGTTTTCTTTTTTAATACTTGTTTATCTTTTTCTTTTTTTTTTCGCCTCTATGCCGGGAGTCCCGGGTCCCGATTGTAGAATGGGAGCCAGTGCTCTCAGTGACACCGTGGTCTTTGTGCTGGAAAATATATGACATTTGTTTTTTGGTTTAATACCACTTTAAGAAAACCTGTTATGAGAAAACCATGTAGGACACCACTGCTGACTTCTGCTGAAAAATGGGATTTTGTACTCATTATAAATAACCATTTCTCTGATGTTCATTGAGGGATACAGCTTTACGATTTCATACCATCGGTTACACTGCTACCTACAAGAGGATCTGGGCACTAAACAGAGTTCAGGGGACCAGTTCACAATAAGCTGCAACCAGAAACCCATACCAAGCATGCTGAGCTGTAGCAAGCAGTAGCTGGGGAGGAAAAAAAGGGACTATGTCCCTACCATAACCACATCAAACCCGTGGTTGGAGAAAGGGGAGTACCCTGCCACCTGAAAAAGGAATGGTGACTGATCCTGAGGTTCTCACACCAACCAAAGTACGCCTTCTATGTATGATGGTAGACTGTTATGAGAAGTCAACTTGCAGGCCCTTGAGCGTTGGCTGAGAAGCAGAGTGCAAGATCAGTCTGGACTGCTTTTGACTTCAATCCTAGACTAGAACAGAAGCAGACTCTTACACCCAGTGACATTCAAGATGAACATTTCCAGTGTAGGTCCTAAGAGCTTATTTCTGATATAGGAGAGCTGCAGAAGCCTTTTTAAAATTCTGATCTGCAGACCAATACTTCATCCATATGACCCTGTGCATAACCACCAAAGTCAAACCGATACAAGAAACCAAGCAGTTTGAATGCGACGTAGCATCACAGAGAAACTTAAAGCAGAACTAAACCCTCCTCTCTTTTACAGTTAAAAAAGCTGCCATCTTAGCATTGGTTTGATCTTCAGTTGCCATTGTGCTGCACATGTGATCAGCTATGACACCAGCCACTTGATGGCTTGACAGTTCGGCTGAGATTTCACATAAGCACACAAGTAATTAACAGTTATCAACTGTTTTGGAAAACTGTTAAATCTTTGGGTTTAGTTCTGCTTTAGGTGCTTGTACCATAAGCTCCATGCAGGTATTCTCTGAGATCAGTTCCGGATGCGGAGGCTGCAAATAATCTGAGACGGTTTGTGACAACACAGCTTGCTTCACTGATAGTGACAGCTCTTTGGATCTCATCTTGAGAGTTGACAGCAACAGATTCCAAATGCAAATAGCACACTTGAAATGAACTCTGGACCTTTTATCTTCTCATTGTAATTGGGATAATGAGGGAATAACACACACCTGGCCATGGAACAGCTGAGAAGCCAATTGTCCCATTACTTTTGGTTCCTTAACAAGTGGGAGGCACATATGCAAACTGTTGTAATTCCTGCACCGTTCACCTGATTTGGATGTAAATACCCTCAAATTAAAGCTGACAGTCTGCAGTTAAAGCACATCTTGTTCGTTTCATTTCAAATCTATTGTGGTGGTGTATAGAGCCAAAAATGTTAGAATTGTGTCGATGTCCCAATAATTATGGACCTGACTGTTGCTTATTGTAGACTCGGTGAACATATGTTTAGTGCCCTAATTCTCCTGTAGGTGGCAGTATAACCCACTTATAGAATCCAGAGCTGTGTCCTATTGTTGATAGGGAAATTACATTTCTTGACTGTCATTCTGATCCTCTTGCTCGCATACGAAGTCCTCATTGACTTGCATGTGGTGGAACAGTGACACAAAAAATTTAGTTTTCAGTCTGACTAAACACTACATTCTCAAGTTGTAGCTATTACATTGAATAATTTTCCAACAATGTTACTACTACTCCATTTACCTTTATGGTTCATAACCAATGTGTATATATGCATTTTTCATAATTTGTCATGCACATGTATGTGTGCACAAGTTGTACAGCAGTTTAGAAGATCATGGTGATCAAACAACTTCCTCTCACCTTGTTCATTATTTCCACAGTATCAGCATGGGTCCAGAAACAGTCATGAACAGACACAAAGGTAAGTCCAAGTCTGCCGAAAAATGGTTGTAGAAAAACAGTAGTCAACATGGTCAGACTGAACAAAATGTGTTAATAATGCTAGTATTGTATGTTCTATATGGACTAGGAGAGAAAGTACATCATGCAGATGTGATTGTTTAGCACAATGTTTCTCAAACTCTGAGTGTGCACGGATCAAGTCTGTACACTGTGGTGTAGGAGCTCCATATGTGTAAAGGGATATCTAGTTTGACTGCAAGTTTCCTGATTGCTTTGGATCTATCTGTTTAATAACATTGTGAAAGAGTCCTACTAATCCCACTACCATGTTATCAGTAGCTGCAGAACCCTTGTGCTAGTGTTTTTAGACTGCAGACAGGCTAACTCCTGCCCAATTCACAGCTTATCAATGTATCACAGCATCAGATGTGACTAGAAACTCCCCCTCTAAGTTGCTACATAGAAAGTTCAACATTACAGGAGACTCTTTCTCTAATTATAACCATACTAAATCATGTCACTGATGATTCTGCAAAGAATACGGGAAAACATGTCAACAGTGGTCACCTAGAACTGAAGTTGGGGCATGTTACGCTTGGTCCATCTTTAAATACTATCTGCAATTAACAGTATTATACAAAAATGGATTGGCCAATTCTGTGGTCAGACCTTACCATAAGTGTAGATGAAAATGATTTGGTTGCAGCAGCTCAAAAATACATACAGGCAGATTTGTTCTCTATCAAGTGCCTGAATGACATTAGCACAACTTACACATAGCAGTGCAATGAAGTGAGCATCATGTGTGTAGAATCCAAAGAATGAATAAAGTTTGGGGGGAAAGCATTCTTCTGCTTCATAGTATCAGGCTTCCTAAAATGAGAATAGACATTAGTGCTTAATGAACCCAATTACAAAGCATTAGAATCCACCCAAGCACAGCATAGCATAGCAAGTCATACCTAGGGGGATGGAAAATTAAGGAAAAGGCTGGTATCAACAATTAAATGTTAAATTGAGGATCAAACAAAATAATAGGTATATGTGTATATGATTCTAGTCCTAATAACAGTCATATATGGAAATTACAAGTAAAGATGGCAAATGCTTAAAGTGCAACTGTGCTTAAAAAGTGAAGATTTACTATAAAGAAACATTTAGAAATGTTAATCATGCTTAAACAGTAACCTGAAAAATGTACCCATCTTAAACGTACAGTACAGATCCTGGGTTATAGGCTTGCACTTTCATGTGACTTTACACTGGCAAAGCTTTTGAGGACATACCCCCTGAGCACCTCTCCTGTAACCCTACTCCACTCTGAGTACTCAGTTTTTGCTAGTGTGTAAAGGTGATGGACCTCTTCTCCTTTACTCAGAAATTACTCCTTGCTTTACTATAGCAGTGCACTTTCTGGTAAGTTAGCATGCCTAGGCAATCCTGTGCCTACAGCCTCAAAATTGTATATCTGCAGTGTGAGATATTAGGCCCTGCTGCCTCTGACCGCGAGTCTCAATTCCTATGGAGGAATTGGGTGATGTATCTACCGAAATGCACACAGTTCTCCTTGCTTGGAAGAAAACCCAGGCCTACACTAAGATAGCCGCCTCCACACAGAGACATAGTGCAGAATATATTAAAGGAAGTCAGACAAGTGAAAGATCTACTGCAGGGAGAACACAGGTGATGCTGGTAACTAGTTCTTTGCACACAGCAAAAGAACAGGTTCATTTTAAATCTAGCCCTTCAGTAGCCTATATTTAATTAGCCTTCATTCCCCCACAGCATTGTTTTCTGCTAGAAGCAGCCCTGTATAAGCTCCACATCAAGCCTAGTCTGTGTACACTTACTTCCTTTTTCTATTCATTGTCCTTGCTGCATGAGTGGCCAATTGCTAAACACCAGCACTATTACATGGACTAAAGGGGACAGAATCACATACTCCCTCATACCCAGAAGTACTATGTATTTCTATTCACTTCTAGAAGCTAACAATGGCAGGACAGAACATTTAAAACGGAGTACAAGCTGCTGCGGTGGTTGGTTATAAAGTTAAGTCTTATGCTCTCCCCTACACTGGATCAGCTGCTTAGTTCATTACCAATGTGTAAAATTATAATGAATGGAAAAAAAAAAAAAAAAAAAAAATCACAGCAGAACTTCACTTACTCATTAACATCATTTTTGTTTTTCATCTTTAGCATCTGCAAGTTGCTTTGGCACTGGAAAAAATAAGAACACAAATTTTATGAACAGCTTGACAAACAGCACTGTACAACACTATTACCAGGTTTATAATATTTGATGTTTTTTCTAGCTAAAGGCAGAAGGTTTTTTACCTTAAAAGTGTTACTAAACCCACAACAGTAAAAGCAGTCTGTATATGCAGGAAAGCATGCTTGTTATACTCACTGTGGAACCTAAGAGGTTATTCCTTCGCATTGTGTAAAAAAGCTGTTTGATCCTGTCTTCTCGGATCCTCCCCTTTTTTACAGTCTCCAATCCATCTGCCATAGTACAGAGCAGCACTGGAAATTCTGCACATGGTGTGTATTGCTAGAGAGCTTTTTTTTTTTTTTATTTTTTTTTAGAGGGTGCATTATTAGGCACAGGGCCAATCAGTGCTGTCCAGACAGAGGGTCAGGGGTCATGCAGCCTCATAGGACTGTCAGAGGAGAATGAAAACTCCTCCTACAAGATAAACCAGTGTTTGGCCGGACACTGATAGAAGTCACAAGACTACTATATACTGCTGGTTAGAAAAGCTATTTGGCAGTTTATATTTACTAAAATAATTGCATCTCTGTGTACTGTGGAAGATCCGATATAGTGAATTCCGGGTCATGGATTTATTAAAACTTTAATGCATGCTCTGCATTAAGGTAAAAAAGAACAATGTGGTTTTTTTCCCCACAGGAGCCTGCAAAGCATTGCACCAGTGAGTGAATGTCAGGCTCCTGTAGACATATCCTCCTGCTTACTTGCTCCTACCTCTGTGCAAATTTCTGTTTGAAACCTTGAAGAATTGTCAATGAACTACAAGGGTACAAGTCAGCACCCTTGCAGTTTATTGAGAACTAAAAGTCTTCTGGAGAAAGGTGGATATTAGGGGGGGGGGGGTGCAGGGGGAGGTGCTGAAACATGTTACATATTACACCCTAAATACGACTGTAACGGCCTACAAATGGGGAACCTACCCTCTAACATGTCTTAAAGATAAATTTATTCTTTAAAGTGCTTATAAACCTGAAACCTTAGTTTGGCATCCAGAAGCAACCCTATTGTCTAGCAATCCTCCCTGCTGTAGTAAACAGTGTAAAGTTGACATCTTATTCTCGGTGTTGGACTGTTTGTAAAGGGAGAAAGTTTATTTAAATTGTTTAATGTAATTATATAATAATATAGGCAATAATATAATGGAATTATATAAGCAAAGATTAGCCTGAACTAGGACCAGGGGATAACTAGGGCATCTGAGGCCAGAGCTAGAGTATCCTTGGTTCTGGATACAAACAGGGGTAGTTTGCATGTGGACATCCTAGAATCAGGATGTAACAACAGAGTCCCCCATTTTTGGCATTACAGACCGAACACATCTGGATGAAGAGACTATCTCCTTTGTTCTAGGCGGTGGTGGTGTTAATTTGTCTGCCAGTTGTCCACTCCTGGGATTGCTGGGCAGCAAATTTCTGTCTGTGAGAGGATCTGGTTTGCTTTCTTCAGGGCAGTCAGGCTACTCATGGCTCCTTGATGCTTGATATATGCTACTGTAGTAACACTGTTTGATTGTACCTAAATTGGGTGTACTTTAGAAGGGGGTCCAGTGCTGGAGGGACAGCCAGACAGGTTTGAGCTGAAAGATATTGATGGAGAGTTTGGCTTCTTCTCTTGACCATGTTCCCTGAATAGTTAATGAATGGAAGACTCCCCCAACTTAACAGACTTGAGTCAGTTGTAAGAACCTTCCATTTGTAGAGAAGAAAGGGTTTGCCCACTGTTAGAGCAAGGACATTCTTGTTGAGGGGGGAGAAGGAGTATGGTTAGATCTAGGGAAAGAGCCTTTTTTCCACATTGACTGGAGAGTTTTTGAATGGAATTGAGAGAAAGGTACTGCCTCGAATTGGGACACCATTAGACCAGAACTCTCATGGCGAAACACACTGTGGGGTTTCCATATGGATCTCAGCTGTCGTGCATAAGCTCTTAAGCGAAAAAAGAAAAAAACATTTTTTTGAAAGAAAGTCCTTTGCCTGCGATGTATCCAGGAGCAAGTCCTAGATACTCTAGACACATGGAAGGCTGGAGAGCACATATTTTTGACATGGTCATCCACCCATAGACCTGAAACAGCTGAATTGCGCAGAGTGTTTTAAGGGAGATGAATCCTTCAGAAGGAGGTCATCTACATAGCCTGTCACCTGGATGCCCTGGGTTCTGAGAAGGACAAGCAAGGGTGCAAAGACCTTTGTGAACACCCTGGGAGAAAAAAATAAGGTGAAGGGCAATACAACAAACTGGAAGTAGCTGTCTGCCACTGCAAAGTGTACACACTGCTGATGAGGTGGGTATATGGGAACATGTAGATAGGCATCGTGAATATCTATGGATGCCAAGTGTTCCTCTTATCTTGGAGAGACAATTACATAAAGTGCAGAGTCCATTTGAAACTTTGGAAATTGAAAGGTTTTGTTTTCAGGGATTAAGTCCAAGATAGGACAGATACCTCTGTTGGGCTTTGGTACCATGAACAGGTTTAAGTAGGATCCCTTGAACCCATCTTGTGGTAGTACTGGTACAACTCCTTGGAACAAGAAGTAGTTCAGGGCCTTCTGTAAATCTGCCTTTGAACCACCAATTGAAGCTACAGGTCAGAGATGTCTATGACCCAGAGAGATGCTAATTGCAACAGACATCCCCCTCTTTTGAGAGTGAGAGCATCTCTTCATTGTGAAAAAGGCTTTGGGCTCGGCTTGGTGGTCTTTTTGGGCAAAGTCTTGTGGCAAAAGAAGGGCTGAACCTAGATTTTGAAACTGAAGCCTGGGAAGAGCTTAAAGGTGGTCTATGTTTAATGGAACTAGGAGCCCATGAGAAGGAGGGTTTTGGCACATTTCTCTGACTAAACAAAACCTAAACAACCTGTGACCTCTTTTATAAATTGGTGAAGTGACTCACTAAAAAGATGTCTTCCCTAAAATGTCATATGAGTGAAGTTCCTCTTTCAGGCAGATTCTACTGTCCAAGACATTAGCCAGAGGATTATGTGCATATAAACAGATTACAGCCGTTCTAGATATTTGTCACATAAAAGAAGAGCAGAGGGAAGCTGTTGTAATTGCTCTGCAACCACATAATCCTGAAAAACAGAATCACGTTGGTTGTTCCATATTTAATATACTGAAAATCTTTAGTATTTTATAGTGTGATGTATGCTTGCAGGGTCAACCACAGGAATAGCCCACTTGTTTTTAAACTCTTTTTCCAATAAAGTTCAGCAAAGATTTTTGGGGTAGTAAAAATTTTTTTCAGGAGTGACCCAATCATTATAGACCGCCCATACTATCTGTTCATAAACAGGGAATGTTTTATAAGTCTTTGTAAGTCTATTTGAGCCCAAAGAGGCCAGGTTAGACAGAGGAGAATTAATGTGCACAATGGCAAGGCTTTTGCAGACAGAGACAAGCTTTTCAACGTTAGCAAGCATGCTGCATGAAGTTCGCCTCTTCAATATGGCGGCGATCTAGGGGAGAGAAATCCACCGCAGCTTCCTCCAAAACTGCCCCAACATCCTCTTCATTCCCTTCTGATTCAGCACTCTCTAGGACTGGTATATCAACTCCTGTTGACAAAAGGGAGTGGAAGAAGAGATGGGCATTTTGAGCACTGGATACAGATAGCCGAAGTAAGGCCAAAATCTGTCCAAAGAATTGTGACATAGATGCTGAAAAGTATGCTTTTGTCAAGTAGACCTCTTGCTGCTTACCTGAAACCGGTGTTAGGACTTGTTCCTACTTCGGTGCAAGGGATGCATTATCACTCTGAATCTGAGTGTTGTGCAGGCCTTTGGCAAAGTGAATGTTCCCCTGCCAATTAGAGTTGGCTCCATTTCACCTGGCCCCTGCCATAGGTACAAATGAGGGTATTCAACTGTTAGATACCTACGTAGAGTAGGTATCTACGTGGAGTAGAGCTTTTTGAGATGTGTCTAGTAGGAGTACACGATAACTCAGGTGTAGACTGTCCTGCAACGAATCCTTGTTGTGAAAGGGTGGTAGGAAGTGCCTGGGTACCTTATAAGGCCTCTTGGAGGAAGTTGCATTAAAGCATCCACCTGAAATTCTGAGTGGCTGAATTTTAGAGCCAAATTTGAAATGTAGTTATGAAGTCAATACTTTCCAAACATAGCCCTGCCTTAGACAGTAACAGTCAAAAATATTACGATTATGTCTTTATCTGTTCATGATGCTGGACTGTATATAATGTCCAGGCTTCACCTATCATGATGGGCATACCCCTGGGGGGGGGGGGGGGGGGAAGGTGGTTTAGGGACTGGGATCCACAGTAATGGACCACGGCCCAGGACCTGTATGGCATCCAGTAGCTAAATCAACGTGTTGCACCAAGTGCAAGATGAGCACCCTACACACGATCCAGTGTCATAGTCAACCAACATTACAGGTTGTCCCCACAGTGTGAGGATTGCGTATGACTTCCAAGATTTTACAGTGATTGCAATGATCTGGATACACTGCTTCTGTGTAGGCATTAGAAGGCAGTAAATTTGAACAAAGAATTCTTGAGAAATTAATAATAAATTAATAAACTAGTGTCCTCAGAAACTTGCAGTGTCCCATCACCTGAAAGTACAAGACTATAATCCCATGGTGTATGAATAACATGCCTGTGCCCTGTACTGTACTGTTAAGATATCAGGATTCTCCTGCTAAAATACTTGCACTTGCATGTAATAGCATGTATATCCTTATTTAAGGAACTTTATTCTCTATTCTCCTTTATATGAGATACTAACAGACCTAGATTAAAACTGATCACATTACAAAGACCTAAAGAGGAAGTCAGAATTGCCCCGCCATAAACATAACTCAGAGGCACACTCAGCACATCTCTTTGAGACAAAACAATTATTGACATCAACTGTCCATAATGAAATTGGCCATATCAGTGTGAACTGAAGTAACATGTCTCAATTCAGGATCTTACAGATAGCTTATTCCTATGAGACAATCCTATTCCTCAGAACAGGTGTGTTCAATTTCTGACACTCCTTTAAGGGATCGTTCACACCATGGTGCAGATTCGTCTGATTTTTTTGCACGCATTCTGCAAGGGCACAGTGAAAACAATTGTTCTCTCTGAGCCCTGTTCACACCACAACACTCGTATCCTGTGCAGATTTTTTTCTGCGCTAGAATCTGCGACGTGTATAAAACTCATTGAAGCACGCATGAAAACTCATGTAAACTGATGTCTCTGCAAGTGAAATCTGTGCATCAGTTTCCATCAGTGTTCTGCACATATGGTATGAATGAGGCCTACAAGATAAACATGCACTGCCCTATAGATTTCTACAACTATGCCATAGTCTGGAGATTTAATTTAGAGACCATTATAAGCCCATCTCTAACTACCCACTATTAGGAGTTTCAGGGCCCATGCACATGGCTGCCTGGGACATTAAAACAAAGTTCAGGTGTATTTCCGCACCCAGGGAGCCACAGGTGAATAGCTGTATGCAGGTATATGCTGGTACTTGCGTAAACCAGCACATGAGTACAGACAAATTCCTAAACACAAACTAGGGTTGATTTACTAGAGGTGTATACAGTAGGCTGTTCACTTTGCAAGGGTAGCTGCACTTTACAAGTGTGAATTAAGTGAAATTTAAAAAAAAAAAAAACAGTATTTTTACTTGCACACGATTGGATAATGGAAGTCAGCAGAGCTTTACCTCATTCACTAAGCTCTGTTGAAAACTCCTTTGCAAAGTGAACATCCTATTTGATCAACCCCACTGTCTGCATTCTGGGTTTAATTTCTGTATAGATGTGCAGGTTTACATAAGCACCAGCATATACCCGCATACATCCATTCATGTCTATGTGACAGCTGTAAGCAGCACCTGTGTGGCTCCTGAGCCCCAGTCCTTAAAGTCACAAGGTCCCAAAGGGTTAATATCCACGATGTGATGTCATTTGCTACAAGCTAAGCTGGGTAAAACCTCACTTGCAGTCAAGATTAAATGGCAAACTCTACTGCCAACTATGCCTAATACAGGAATTGGAAAATCTGGTCTTCCCATATGTTAGTTTAAACTGCGGTTTAATAACAGGCTGATTCAAATGTATATCTTTTGTCATTCATTATCCTTATTCGGTTGTATAAAATAGGATGCTTGGCTAAATCCAAAATGCCAGGCAAGATATCTTCCCACTTCATTTGGGGATGTTCGTAAAATTCTGGAATAAGGTAGTCACCATAATCACTTCATTGCAAACTCCTCTCCCTTGTGCACCTGAAATTTGTCTGTTTGGTATATTAGGTGAAGAATGTTGGCTATATTACACCATGCTGCCTTTTCTTTGTACAGGCAGCTGGACCCCTTTATGACATGCTGCCGGATTAGCCCTCCTGCTGCCTCCAGATTGCAGATGATGCCATTCTTGCCTAGGCGAGAATGGCAGCCATGACACCAGAAAAAAAGTAAACAAATTTTTTATTTATGTTTATGATTATGGAGGGGGAAGAGTGCAGTGGTGTCTATTGTAGCTAATGTGCGAAGGTCCATTCAAATTCCTTAAAAATTGGGACCTAAAGTATAACCCTATCCTTACCCTTGGAATAACCCATCCTGGTTCAAGCACCACAACTACTACAGCCAGTGTATGCTTACCTTACTGTATTAATTTATATAATGCATGTATAAAGAAATATTTACAAGAGACAATCACTGTTTTACTTTGCATATCTGTAGCCAGATGACTTCACATATTCATTGTTATTGCTTTATAGTCATGTACTTCTATATTAAAAGTCATGCACAACTGTTCAAGCTCAATAAATAGGTTTTCAAATAAAAATATATATAGGTACGAGTATCCATATATGCAACACACCTGAAAAAGTAAAAGCAGCAAGGTTCAAGTAAAGTCAGCAAATAGTTGCTCAGGACATCAAAAATCACACAATTCTGCTTACATGGTTACAAATATTTAAAATACTTGATTAAGTGGTTATAAAGTTTAAACAGTTTTTACCCTAATGCATTCCTTGCATTAAGGTAAAAATATTTAAGCAACCCCCCTACTGGGGATCAGGAGGGATACTGTTGCCCCCCCCCTCCCCTTTTACTTACCTGAGCCCTCATTCTACCAAGTGCTGTGCACATCTACAACTTTTCTCTCCCCTCACTTCTTGGTCCCACTGGCTTTCTGAGGCAGCAGGATTCATTGGCTCCCGCTGCTGTCAATCAAAGCCAGTGACGAAGCAGTGGGGGGCAGCGCCAGGTCCCAAGACAGTGAGGCTCAGGAGAGAGTCCACACTGGGCAGAGGGGAAGAGCCAAGAGCGCCAGTGGGGGATCCGAAGGGAGGAGGTTCAGGACCACTCTTTGCAACTCCATTACACAGAACAAGCAAGTATAAACCGGTTTGTTATGAAAAAAAAATACAAACACTTTAATATTTTTTCTTACCGCAACATTCTTACTCCGGTGGTATGGCTGAATTATGGGTAGTCCCAAGGGTGTTACCCACTCCACAGTGTTTCCAGACTTTGAGATCATACGGGCACTTTCTGTTAGCCAGTACTAGGCACAAGAAACACATTTCAGTATAAGGCAAAAGAACTGTCTGAACTAGAGAGAAAAAGTATTTAGCTGTTTCTGCAGACGATAAGGCACTGTCCCAGAAAGTGCTGTATGGTGAAAACCCCATTTGAAAAGAATGCTTTACAACAAATATGCACCTGAGACAAGGACAAAGGGGGAAAGGCAGCAGGAGAAGATATTTAAAGTGAAGCAATTAGCCATTTTAAACAACGAAAACATATGTCTCATGCACATGAGGTGTCTAAACAAGCCCCTCTGAATGCTAGAACTACTGACAGGAAAATCCAGCATAAAAACGCAATAACGCATGCGTTTTTGCACGTGTAGCATTTAAATGCATTTTACTGGCCAGAATATTAATTTATTTTGCCCATTGGAATGCGTTAACACTCAAATGCTATATGTGTCTAGTGTGCACGCATTTTATGTGCTGAAATGCTCCTCTAAAGTATGCTCCTTTGGGGTTTTTAATTTTTTTTCTGCCTGTAAATGCTCCTCCTCCAATATGCCTGTAAACAGGTCTATCTGTGCATGGACACATAGGCATTTTTTTCTGCTGAATAGAGGTTCTTTTACAGGCTGAAAAAAAAAAACAAAACTCAGTGCTTGTGAAGTCTTCGCTAGAAGAAAACAACAAAATTGCCTGTTATTACCTTTATTAGACCTCCTATTCAAGTTTCTGTGATCTCAGTTTCACTTTGCTACTAAGGGTGCATGTTTACTGAGCTATGCATACGCCAATTGTGCTAAACTCTGAAAACAATACTTGCTTGCCTGTCAATTTCATGCTTTGGTTTCCATATTTTCCAAGTTAGTGCCCCAAAAAGGAGAGGTACAAATCTGACTTTTTGATGACTTTCATTTATTGCATGATTGCTCCAAGTCCATCACTCACAAGTGCAGAAAACACACAGAGCTATGCATGTATAATTTCAAGTGAAAATCAATATTAACTTCATCCATATTTGTCCCATAAGAGGTGTATTTCAAGCCTCCAGGGATTCAATGTTCACATTACTGACACACTGTCTAACCAAAACATACTTGTGTGTGATCTACAAAAAAATGATGTGGCTTGAGAAGTATAACCAAAGGACTTCTTGTACATAACGGAGCAGATCTGGAAGGGGCACACAGAAAGCATGTAAACATAACCAGGATTCTCAAAATGGATACATATATGAGACATAGGGAACATCCTTGGAAATATTAGCAGCAAGGTTTAAAGCTAAAGTCCAGGTAAGTGGGCAAAGAGCTAATAGAGTGAAATGCATACAAGCGAGCAGTTCTACCTGCCAAAGCCTTCCAGTATTCCTGCCCATCCAGTCCTGAGACTTACAGAGCTCTGTCACACCACACAGCCCTGTCTGACCAGGTAGAATACCTTTCTCTGCTACAATTAAGTAACATTTACATGTCTCCTTCTCTCAGCCTGTATATGGGCAGTCAAAAGAAGAGCAGTATGCTCCTTATTAGCATATAAGCACTGTATCATATCTGATTGGCTCCTTGTTTTGCTTCTTCCTCTCCCAGTTTAGGCTCTACTGGGCAGCGAATTGCAAGAACCTAAAACCAAGTCAAATTTACACTGTTGTATTTTATAAATATACATTTAATGATGTATTAATGACTGGAGAGACACAATACTTGTGACTTTTATATCTACCTGGAGTTCAGCTTTAGGCTCCATGCACACTAGCATTTTTTAAGCTCCTAGAAACAGCTTTTTTTTTTCAAGTACATGTACAGCAAAAACGCTAACACTCCTAAATGCTGCTGAACGCTACTAAAAAATGCTATAACCAGCTTTTTTTAATCTAGTGTTTTATTTAGCTTAAAAAGGACTTGAAAGGAAGCGTTACTCATTTAAAATGTCTAACAAAGTAGCACTTTCTTCAAAAGAATATGAAAACATTACAAAAACAAATACGGCTCTAAAGAAAGATTGGCTGACTGGGGAAACACAATATTAATATACCTCATAGACTACATTTACCTGAATCTCTCTTGTGCCAGAAAACATCTCTTTCAGACTGCTGAAGACTAGCTGGGCCAGATAAATTGAGGCATCCCAGTTGTATTTCTGCCAAGATTGAAAAAACACAAAACAAGGGCATGAAAACGTCAAGGAACAATTTCAAATAAAATGTTTCCTCACATAAAAAATCCATTAAGAACAGACTGACATACATTGCAAACGAAATTCAGTGCACTGAAAAGAAAGCTGCAGAATTCCTCCCACTAGTAATGTTACATAGAACAATAAAAAGGTACATATTTGAATTTATGCAACTAAATCACCTGAGGAAAGGAGTCCGTCTCACGGAGTCTCTTTTCAATCTGGAGACGCCCACCATATTTAGTTACACCATAGACTACAGTCATTACTGTCTGTTTTACCACTTTACGGCCAATAAAACCTTCAAGAACCTGAGCAATCTTAATTCCTTCCTTGGCATCCCTTTTGCGGAATTCCTCTACCTGAGGGCAATACAATGGACAACAAGGCATACTCAGTCTAGAATTGCTAACAGAGCAAAGCTTTAGTAATATGATTGCAAATGCTAGGTGGCTCACCTGTTGAGCAACCTCACTGTAAACATCTTGAGGGGTATCGCATGGTATCAAGTTTACAGATTTTGCCCCAATTTCATCCCTTCCAAGAGCAGCATAATGCTGAAGTCCATTACATGAACCATCCTGGAAAGAAAACAAACAAATGCACTTAAATACCAGTAAATATCACATCTTTCTGCTTGCCTAAAAGTGTTAAACTGCCTGCAGTGCCAAATAAGGTGTATTTAAAAGCTTTTTATTTTTTCTTTAGTTTTGGATAGAGTAGTTATTGGGGTTGGACTTTTTTTTCCAACATCTATGTCCTAGCTAGGTGTATTTACCTAGGTTTGTCCTGTTGGCCATTGTCATCAAGACAGAACTGTGGGGCAATGCAACTTTTTAAGCTATCAACAGAGCACGAAATGAGGTGAAATTATCCAAATGCTCTAACTGTCTAAGAATGGAAATTCTTCCCATTTTTGGTTGTGTTTCCAGGACAGGAAGCAAAGGGAAATCTCAGCAGAACAAAAGACATCTACCGAATTTTTTCGCTCCATAAGACGCACCTAGATTTTAGACGAGGAAAACAAGAAAAAAAAAACATTCTGAAGCAATGGACTGCAGACATATTACGGGAGATGACCAGAGGCTGCGGACATAGTACGGGAGATGACCAGAGGCTGCACACATAGTACGGGAGATGACCAGAGGCTTCTTCATGACCGCCCTATAGCAGAAATACTGCTACAGGGCGGCACAGGTGCGCAAATTCACGTATATATACATTTTGCATTTCCTGGTAGATCATTTGCGGCCACGGCTGTCAATCGTCGGGTCCCGGCAGGTGATAACTCGCCGGCGCCCGGTGACTCCTGAGCATCTCTGACAGGGAGGAGGACTGTTTGTAAACAAAACGGTTCTCCTCTCTGTCAGCTCATGCACACTGCTTTGGATGGCTGTGCACAGCACAGCCATCCAAAGCAGTGTGCTTACAGTAGAGCACAAGGACACAACTTATAGTAAAACAGCACACAGTTAACCCTTTGATTGCCCCTCATGTTAACGCCTTCCTGCTCAGTGCCATTAGTTCAGTGTCAGTGCTTTTTATTAGCACAAATCACTGTATTGGTGTCACTGGAGATGTCAGTGACATCAAGTCAGCTCCCCCCAGTGTCAGAATGCCCGTCCCGTTATAAGTGCCCCAGTGATCGTGATCGCCCATTACTAGTAAAAAAAACAAAAAAAAAAAAAAAAAAACAAAATCCCAGTATATATATCGCTATTTGTAAATGCTATAACTTTCACATAAACCAATTCATTTACACGTATTGGGATTTCTTTTAGCAAAGATGTCGGAGAACACATTTTGGCCTAAATTAAATTTTTTTACTGGACATGTTTAATAGTAAAAAGTCAAAAAATATTGTTTGTTTTTTTTATAGCACAAAAAATAAAAAAACCACACAGGCGATTAAAAACCACCAAAGGAAAGCTCTATTTGTCTCAACAAAGTCTCACACATACTCAGGAGAAGTAGCAGAATTAATTTTGGGGTGTAATTCTTAGTATGTCCATGTTGTTTGTTAGAAATATCCTATAAATTGAAAACTTTGTGTAAAAAAAAAAAAAAAAAATTTCAGCTTTCTTTTTTCAAAAACTTGTGGCAAAAAAATTACATGTTCAAAAGACCAATTATGCCTCATAGAATATAACCTGGGGTGTTTGATTTCCAAAATGTGGTCATTTTGTGGGTGTTTCAAAAATGCGATAGGTGGTCAGGAAATTAGATGTGCAATTTACTGTATGCCCCTAAAAAGCCTGAAAGTGCTCCTTGGATGTTAGGTCTCGCTATGTGGCTAAGCTTTGAAAAAGTCTCACACATGTGGTATCACCATACTCAGGGAGAGTAGCAGAATGTGTTTTGGGGTGTAATTGCAAGTATGCCTATGCTGTGTGTGAGAAATACATTTTTGACCACTTCACAACTGCGCTATAGCCGAATGAAGGCTACAGCCCGGTTGGCCAGTTCTGGGATGACGCCATATGACGTTCTCCCAGAACGCACCCTCCCACGCACCCCCAGCAGTGCGAAACCGGCACTCTCCATGATCGCTGTGTCCTACGGACACAGCTGATCACATGACGAGGTAAAAGCCAATCACAACTGCCTTCTCATCAATGCCCACCAGTGCCACCTCATCAGTGCAGCATAACCGTGCTTCCTATCCGTGCCACCTCATCAGTGCTGCCTAATCAACACACATTAGTGAAGGAGAAAAATAGAAACAAAAAAAAACTTTTTTTTTTCAAATTTTTCTGCTCTGTTTTTGTTTATAGTGCAAAAAATAAAACACCCAGTGGCGTTTAAATATCACCAAAAGGAAGCTCTATTTGCGTGAAAAAAAAAATTTTATAAAATTGTCATATGGATACAGTGTTGCATGACTGAGCAATTGTCATTCAAAGTGTGAGAATGTTGAAATGGGAAAATTGGCTTGGGCAGAAAGGGGGTGAAACTGGCCGGTATTGAAGTGGTTAAAGTGGTAATAACGTGAGGGTTTTTTTTTTTTGGGGGGGGGGGGGGGTTTGGGGGGGGGGGCTACAGGTAAGCTTATACTAAAACTAACCCATAGGTATAGTAAATATCTCCACTGACAAGTAAGTCTGCCATAATGCAGTGCATACTAGCCCATTATGGCATAACAGTGCAGGAAGCCATTTTTTAAAATTTCTTTAGCAGAGTTTACTACCGCTTTAAGAGGGGCTTTTTGCAGGTCAAGTAGCCCAGACAGTTAGCATAGATCAGGACTGAATGGCTTTATAATATCAATTAGCCCTATAGAAAAGATTTTATTGCATGACAGGTATCATTAATGGACTTAAAAGTAACACCAAACAATATCCTTGTTTTTCATGCTATGGTCCATACACATCCACTACTTAAAGCGGTAGTAAAGTCCGCTGTTTGATTTATACCTACAGGTAAGACTATAATAAGGCTTACCTGTAGGTACAGTAAATACCTCCTATAAGTGCACCATTTAGGAGATATTTACTTTAGTAGCAGCTGGTGATGTCATCAGTGCATGCGCCCTGTGCCGTGGCCATGACTCCCGTGCACGGGGGTGTCATCATGGAGGCTAGCAATTTAAATGGCCAGAGCCCGTGAACCCGAAAGGAAGACCAGGTGAAGATGGAAGCCCCAGCAACAGTGACAGCACACTGCTGAAGGGCTTAATTTTAGTCTGTCATAATGTGCTAGTATGCAGGACATTCAATTTGCTTATTAAAGATTATCCAGTAATGCTCTACTAAAGAGGATTTATGGTTGCTTTGTATCCTAGTGGTCAGTTATTTGCTTTATTGTGTTCTGCTATGGAGGAGGGCGACACTGCCTGGGCTGGTTGTAATGAGACACACAAACTTTAGATGGATAGTGTCACAGAGCTGTGAATGCACAGCGTAACATCCCATTTGCCACTCAGTTTTTGAGGGTGTCCCAGGCCTTATCATCATCATCGCACTCCCAAAGTTCGTTAGTAAGCTAACAACTCTGCCTCTGCTGCACTGAAATGTCAGTGTTGTCAGCCCTCCTTGGATTTTTCCCTTCTGTACAACAGAACTCTGTCCCGGTCCCTTGCTGTCCCAACAAAACAATATGCAGCAGTCTTGATTCCCAATAGCCTGCCCACACATAATGTGCAGTAAAAGGGCTGTTAGAAGATATTCTACCTCAACAAGAATTGCACTCACTGTCACAGGGCGTAATAAAACTGTTTTTTGCTACAGGAACAAGATCAAAGAAAAAAGCAATGCTTTGGGAGTAAATTTAGTTAATGCCTATACAAATCTAAAGTCTTCCAAATTGTACATGTAATAAATAATAAATATACCTGATGCACAGGAATATGGGATATGTATTTTGCAGGATCCGAGGAACGTACAGCTTTTGCAATTTCCATGCAGCATGCCAAGGTCTGCCAGGGCTCATCTGCTTCCATCCACCATTTCCTACCCTGTGAAGATCAGGAAAGTCATCAATACTACAAAAATTAAAGACAAGAATGGAAAAAGCTAATAATATCAACATTGAATAGTTTAATCATTTTCTGTCACTGATGGCTGGATGCCATGCCAAATTTAGAGATGTCAGTTAACTTAGCAATAACTCCAATGGCTAATTTGCATACCTAATTTTTACCTCTTTTAGGAGCATATAAGGCTTTTAAGTGACAAAACTGTTTTAATTAAAATGCTCTGTTTTTATTATAAGCTGACAAATGTGCAAAAATAGGAATTTGACTTTCCTGTAAATTCCGTATCCTGGAGTAGAAGTAAAAGGACACAAGACCTGTATTCATAGACAGCACGTTTTATTTAGGCTACCTTCAGGTAGCTGGACACCGGCAAAAAAAACCTTTCATAGGGCTGCCTCTACTGCATGGTCATACAGCCTCACCCACTTCATGAGATATCAGTTTTTATGTAAGCAATAGGGGGTGGCCAAAAGGGAGGGGCCTATGTTCTGTACTGTACGTCAATATAAGGGATTTACAGGTAAGTAAAAAATCTCACTATCCTAATTATACAGTGTGGAACACAGGACTTGTATTCAAAAGACCATGAGGCGCTTCAAGCAATAAAATGCGATGTAGGTAACAACATTGCAAACAGAACTGCCAACAGACCCACAAAAAAAAACAGGCTACAGACCCCAAAAACACTCAGATGACAGCTTGCAGCACCTTGTGGCAAACGCTCACACCAGCCAAGTCCTGAACATATGATAGAACCTGGAGAATGTGAACAGAGGACCAAGTGACATCCTTGCAAATCTGCAAATTACAGATGCTTCATTCTGAAAAGTCCAAGAAACAATAGACTTATCAGAATGAACTTTGATAGGTAAAGAACCCTGAGGGAATAGGCCCTGGAAAAAATTTGTCTGATATACCTGGCAATGGTAGAGCGAAAGGCAGGGCGTCCTCTACGAGGGCCTACAGGCAAGACAAAAAGGCATACAGTTTTGCAAACAGAAGCTAAGTAAGGCTAGCAAGAACCTGATATCCCTGATAACTTCCAACCAGCATATGTAAATTCTCTTGGTGTGTTTTGGAGAAGGACAGAGGAAAGGGAAGACAATATCCTCATTAAAGTAGAAGGGAGAGACCACCTTGCCAGAAAAGTCTTTGGTCTCAAGATCACTTTGTCCCTGCGCAAAACAAGACAAGGTTATATACAAGAATGAGCATCCAGCACAGAAATGCAACTAAAGCAGAGCACAGATAAGTCTATAGATGAGTCAGTGGTTTGAAAAAAAAAAAAAAAAATTACTCGATTCACCATCCGCACACTCAGTGTAGATGGGCGATTCCTCCCCATGGAGTTATTGTATTCGGACAGCTATAGCTAGCAGGGAAAAATGAGACAGGGCAATTGTACAGAAGTCGATCGATAGATTGACTTCTGTACAACCACCCTGCCAATATTTGGATTGAAATTTGGAAGGCCCATGCTGAACTGGCTGAATTTCAATCCATGTATGGCCAGCTTTAGAGATATAATGGAAACAGGAATTGGCTCAAAAGGTGGGGCGGCGGTTCTGAAGTACAGAGGGCACAAGGGTGACATCTCAAGGTGACACAGGGGGGCGAATTTGGGGATGAATGAGCAACTCTCTGAAGAGAAGCCCTGCTTAAGAGAATGGATAAGGAAAAAAACTATCCCTTAAAATGGTTCTTAAGGCTTGAGGTTTTTTACCTCCATGCATTCTATGCATGACGGTAAAAAACCTTCTGTAAGTAGCAGCCCCCCCCAACATTTACCTGAGCCCCATCACGATCCAGCAATGAACACAAGAGCTTCGGTTCTCCAGGGATTCTCACTCCTGATTGGCTGAGGCAGCAGCGGGAACCATTGAGCAATTCAAGAGAGGGATGGGCATGCATAGCTGCAGCTCGGGAGCTTGCTGTGGGGGCATCCAACAGGAGGGCGGGGCCAGAAGTGCCAGCGGGGGATCCAAGAAGTGCTGCACTGAGCAGTTAAGTATGACATGCTTTTTATTAAAAAAAAAAAAGACTTTAGTATCACTTTAACAGTACACAGGGTGAGACGCCAGTCGAGAGTTGAATGCTGAAAGACCAAAATATGAACAACAGAGCATTCCTGGGGACTTGGTTTCCTGTCCTTGCACCAGACAAAGCAAGTCTTCAATTTGTAATGTAGACCTTGTGAAAAGTAGATTTCTCACTCTCAGTAAGGTGGCAATAACAAAGTCAGGGATTCCCCTATCCTTCAGGACCTGAGTTTCAACAGCCATGCTATTGAAGTCAGCCACTGAGACGTAGGGTGGAATAGGAGGCCTTGCGTCAGCAAGCAAGGTCTTTTTGCTGGAGGCCAAGGCTTACCCACCAGAAACATGTCTGTGTACCACAAACTTTTAGGACAATTTGGTGCAATGAGCATCACCAGAATCCTTTCTTCCTCTATCTAGTGCAGCACTTCATTTTTAGTGCAGCACTTAATAATTTTTATCAGAAGGAAAACATATCAACCTGAATAAAGTCCAAGGATTCATCTATTCCAAAGGCCAGAGGATGCCTGGTTCTGGCTTCAAATTTTTTCAGCGTATTTTTGAACCTGGAGGCCAGGATGGTTTCCTGCACCTTTGGGAGAGATCTAAATGTTGGTAGCTTAGAAAAAACTTTCCTGTCAATTGTCCACACCATGGATGTGGATGGCAGGGAGACCTGGAATGAAAAATTTCCACCCAGGAGAGTATCAAGTTCCTTTTTTTGTTTATTTTTTTAGGGCCTGTCAAATTCTGGTGCCCCCCTTCACGGTTTATGGAGAACACTGCTGTGGCACTGTCGGACTGCATTTACTGGGTGACCTTGCAGAAGGTAATAGAAGAAAGAGCTGCCAGCTCTGACACCTTTCTCAAAGATGTGATTGCCACTAGAAACAACACCTTATGAGTCAACATAACCAGTGGAATCTCTCCAATAGGTTCAAATGGTGGTTTTGCAAAACCTCCAAAACCAAGTTCAGGTCCCAAGGACACAAAGGCAACCCGACAAGAGGAACAATACGCATCTCTCCTTGTAAAAAGGTGCGAACCAATAAGTTAGAAGCAATGGGCCTCTGGGAAAAAAAGATAGCTAATGCTGAAACCTGGCCCTTAACGGTACAAACAGCAAATTTCTTATGCAATCCTGCTTGAAGAAACAACAGAATCCTGCCAATCACTTACTTTCATGGGTGCCATTTGTGAACCTCACACAAGGCAACGTAAGCCTTCCAGGTTCTACAATAAATGTTCCTAACTACCTTTCTAGCACAGAACATGATGCGGATGAAAAAGTCAGGACACTCCCCTATCCATCAGGATCTGGGTTTCAATAGCCATCAAATTTAGCGACCGTAAAGCTAGATGCAAAATAGGACCTTGAGACAACAGGTTTGGCCCATACGGCAGGGCCCACGGCCCGTCTACTGCTATCAACACTATGTCCGCGTAAGAGACACGGCAGCAGCTGGCTCAGAGGAGAATCAGTGAGAACTGGTTCCAATGAATCACTAAAGCATCTACCCCTGCTGCACTGCGGTCCCTTAACCTGGGCAAAAAAGACCAACCTTGTTGTTGAACCTGGATGCCAATAGATCTACACCTGGGCAAGCCCGTCGCTGGCAGACTTCCTTGAAAACAACGGGATGCAAAGCCCATTCCCCTAGAATCAACTGCTGGCGACTGAGATAATCCGCCTGCCAAATTTTCCACACCTGGAATGAACACTGCTAACAGACTTGGAACAAACAGTTAGGTCCATAAATATTTGAAACAGGCACTCACTCTCAGGTTTAATTTGAGGGTATGTACATACAAATTGTAGGAAGGGTTTAGAATTACTCCTCTTGAGATTAGCCATCCCCCCTTTTTCAAGGGACCAAAAGTAATTGGACAATTGAATCAAAAGCTGTTGCATGGCCAGGTGTAGGCTACTCCTTCATGACTTCATCAATTAAGCCGGTAAAAGGTCTGGAGTTGATTCTAAGTGAGGTATTTGCATTTGGAATCTATTGCTGTGAACCTGCATCATGCGTTCAAAGAAGTTGTCCATGCAAGTGAAATAGGCCATTGTAAGGCTTGAAAAATGAAACAAATCCAATAGAGAGATAGCAGCAACATTAGGAGTGGCCAAAGCAACAGTTTGGTACATTCTGAGAAAAGAAGAATGCACTGGTGAGCTCAGCAACATAAAAAGGCATGGACATTCATGGGAGAGAACAGTGATGGATGATCGCAGGATCCTCTCTATCGTAAAGAAAACCCCATTCACAACATCCAGACAGGAAAGACACTCCAGGAGGAGGTGGGCGTATCATTGAAAAAAGTCTACATTCAATAGAAGACTTCACGAGAGCAAATACAGAGGGTTCCCCACAAGGTGCAAACCATTCATATGCCTGAAGAATAGAAAAGCCAGATTCGACTTTGCCAAAAAACATCTAAAAAAGCCAGACCAGTTCTGGAAAAGCATTGGACAGATGAAACTAAGATTAATCTGTACCAGAATGATGGGAAGAAAAAAGCGTGGAGAAGGCTTGGAACGGCTTATAATCCAAAGCACACAACGTCATCTGTAAACATGGTGGAGGCAGTGTGATGGCATGGACATGCATGGCTTCCAGTGGCACTGGGTCATTGGTGTTTATTGATGATGTGACAGTGTTTAGAGATATACTGTTAGTCCAGATTCAGCAAAGATGATTGGAAGGCGCTTCACAGTACAGATGGACAATGATCCAAAACACACTGCAAAAGCAACCAAGGAGCTTTTGAAGGAAAAGAAGTGGAATATTCTGCAATGGCCGAGTCAATCACCTGATCTCAACCCAATTGAGCATGCATTTCACTTGCTGAAGGCAAAACTAAAGGCAGAAAGACCCACAAAGAACAACTGAAGACAGACGCAGTTAGAGCCTGGCAAAGCATCAGAAAGGAGAAAACCCAGTC